TGGGCGGGGAGCGGGGAGAGAGGTGGCCCCCCCAGGAGGGGCTGCCAGCCTCTCCCCGCCCAAGCAGCCCAGAGACAAGCGAGGGAGCGGCCTGCCCGGGGTGGGCTCGGGGACGCTCACTCCTAGGACCCCAGCCCCCTCCCTCGGTGCCCCAGCCTGCCCGGAGCACACAGGGACAGCGGGCACCAAAGCACTGTGCTGGGGTCAGGCCCCGGCCCTGCGGTCACTGCCCAGGTCTGCCCTGGAGAGTGGCCAAGGCCCTGGACCGAGCACGGGACCCAGGCCAGCAGCCCCTTGTGGCCCGAGCCTCTGGGTCAGACCCTGAGGGGCCGTCGTTGTGGACCTCACGCCAGGCCGGTCCTTGTCTCTGCCTGCAGGGCTGTGCTCAGGGTCCCAGGAAGGGGCGGCAGGGCAGACAGAGGCGACCTGCTGACCACTGCGGCCGGGCCCTGGCCTTGTCCCTGCACTAACACCGCTTTCCAGGTGCAGAATGGAAGTGCACGGGGCCCGCCTCCTAACCGGGCTCACGGGGCTGGGACATGCAGGACGAGCTGAGCCCGGGCGCCTGGGTCTGCCCTGGGCCTGACCGTGGGGACGCTGGCTGCAGGGTGGCCACTCTGTGTTGTAAGGAGGTTCTGGATGCCCGTGGGTCCACCTTGGATCAGGGCTGCTGTTTGCCACCCTGCTCTGAACTAAGGGCTCCTCACGGGGGAAGAGCCGTTATCGCTGTCGCCCCCAACATTCCGACAGCGGACAGGAGCAGGGAGCTGGAATGTCCAGTCACACTGCAGTCCCAGCAAGCACAGCACCTCTGTCACCCGGCCTGCCACCACCCCGCAGGAACGAAGAAAGGGCTCTGCATGGCACTGGCCAGCCGCCCAGCACACGACAGGACAGGGGACCCTGTCCCCGGCTGTGCTGTGGAGCCAAGACCCCCAGGGACAGGAGGGTAAGGGAGAGAGCAGGGGCAGAGGGGTGAGGCGGGGAGGGGGAGGGGAGAGATGGGGAAGGAGGGGTGAGGGGTGCCACTGCGATGCTCTGCCCCCTGCGACGTGGAGCCGGGGCCTCTGGTGACCCAGTTTAGCACATTCCTGGCCCATCACCCTGAGTGGGGTCACCTTGAGAGGGGTCACCTTGAGAGGGGTCACCTTCTGGGCTGTGGGTCCTGGGCCAAGTGTGGGTTCCCAGCAGGTGTCGCCCGGGTGCAGGCTCAGCCCCAGATCCCAGAGCAGGCAAGAAGCTCCATCGCCTCTGCCGGTTGGGGCGCCCCCAAAGCAGAAGGGACCACGCAGACCCTGGGGAGGGGTTGGCCCCACGCCATCCAAGAACGCGGCTGGGGGTGAGCTGGACATCAGCCTCAGAGTGGGAGGAGGCACAGAGGTGAGCCTGAGACTCCCCACCTGTGAGGTCAGCCCCACCTGACGAGCCCTCAGCACCCCGGCAGCGTGCGGTCAGGCTGGTGCCCAGCCTTGCGCTCCAGCCGTGGGCTCCCGAACAAGCCTCTGCCTCTGTGGGACTCAGCATCCTCGGCCATGACCTCTGAGGCGTAGGGGCCACTGAGAAGCACTGTGAAGTCGGGGCACTGACGGTCAGGGCACGATACAGGCCCCGGGACCAGTCCCCTGCGGGTCCCGCCCCCACTGTGGGCGGCCGCGGCGACGAGTCACTTCTGGGACACTTGCTTCCTGAGCACCCACACCCGTGAGCACGGGCCCAGCTCACCTCCGCGGCGGGGCTCGGGCGGGGGGCAGCCGGCTGCACTTGGGAGAAGGCGTCACAGGACACGCCTGGAACCTCGGATGTCCCCCACTCTGTCGTGACCGAGCGCGTGTTGGGGTGCAAATCGGGGTGCGGTCACAGCAGAGAGGCCACGTGCCACACACTGGGGAGCTTCGCACACTCCCGTGGTCCTCAGACCGGCTGTGCCCCCACCCGCCCCGCCCCGCACAGGTGGTGCCAGTGCTGGCTGCTCGGTGTCCACGTTGGGGGGAGAGCGAGGGGCTCCCTCGTCAGTCCTGGGGCCTGGGGAACCCTCTGCTCCTGGGGCCACTGAGCCTCCCTCCTCAGGGGTCCCTGAGTGGGGACTCATCTCCCCGAAAACAGCTGGCACACACGCCCCAGGCTGCTCGGCCTCAGACCCCTCCCCGGAGCCCACAGCTCACCTGGCGATCACGGCACCGCCAGCCCGGCCTGGCCCGGCCGGACAGAGGCCACAGAGCCTGTGCTGCTGTGCCTGCCCCGACCCCCCATCCTCATGCCCACCCCACCCCTGGGCCCTGTGTCATCACTGTGGGCGAGGACAGGGCCCAGGGCCCCCTTCCCCGC